GTGTGTGTGTGTGTGTGTGTGTGTGTGTGTGTGTGTGTGTGATGAAAGGAACAGTACAGTAGTTTGTCTTTCTAACCCATCTTTCGGAAGCTGCCTTAACTGATAAACTTCTCTTAACCTAAACTTTTCTTTCGGCTAAGGAGTGAAAACAGATTTGGTCCTGTTTTTGTTGGTCACCGTGAGTGTTTCTGCATGAGTGCTTGTGCTAATGCTTACATAATGTCTCTCATTTACAGGAAAGGGTCACACTTTTCACATTGCCGATGACAGTTGGATGGCCTTGATCATCAGCTCAGATCATTTGGTTTTATTAGAAACGTTTGACAAGAAATGTATGAATTCATATTTGATTACAGACAGACTTGAGCACAATGTGAGACATTGTTGAGATCTCTTCTGAAACTCTAAATGACTCTAAATGTGACTTTAGTGGGGTCTTTTTCCTCACAGGTAAAATATGAGAAGCTCCAAGTCTTAGATTAACCTGGAAGAAGCAATTGACATATTAAAGATTTGTGCAAGACTACACTTACACAATTTAACACTGGTAAGTACATACTATCAGTATTGCACTTTACTTGGAACTAAAATGCCAATAAATTATATTTCTAGTAATGATGTGAAGCTAATTGTAAAATTTCCAAATAAAAATAGCTGCCTGTGGCAAACTTGTGTCGTAATAGGGCCAGCTTATCTAAATGAGAACTCCACACAAACGTAAGCATAAAAATATCAACAAATAAAAATATTTTATGGTGGTTTATGAACAGCTTCCCGCAGGCCAAGGCAGGCTCATCATTTCCTGTGAGTTGTCATTTGAATACTGAATGGTTGCGTCACACAGCTGACGGTCTCAGTTCATTGCAATGATAAGAAATCTGAAGGTCTTCACTGTTAATCAGATAATAGATAACAGCTAAAAGCTAGCTAAACGTTGCAGCTAGCTACAGAGCAAACCATGGTGTCCATTTACAACCACTTTGCGGGAAATATACCAATGATATATTTATATGTTTCGTTATTTACTCATTTATTTACTCACCCTCATGTCGTTTCAAACCTTACTTTCTTCTGTAGAACAACACTCGAAAAGTTTCGAAGATTGTTCAACCTGGTGTCTTCCTTGAAAGTGTCATACAAAATACATCATTGTAATTGAAAGATATTTACACACTCAAACTGAAATTGTATAAAAAGATCTTGTTTAAAGTTCACATACCGTGTGTTGCCTCTTCGAGCATCAGTGACCGTTCTCAGCCTTTGTGATAGCTGTGCAGTCTCTCAATTGTCCCGAGGCGAAGCTGGGCCTCCGCATCTTTGAGCACTGTGAGGCGAAATCAGACGTGCAGAGCATGTAAGGCACCAAAGAACTTACACGACCTGGAGCTTTGTTGTCAACAGCAGTAATTTATGAGCTCTACGGCTCATTCATGTAGTCGAGAAAATGTAAATGGATGTCTGAAGGGTTTTGGGATATTTGATCATCAGCTATGGGAAGTCAGAACAGCCAAGCCTGGTAGATGAAGTCTATAACTCTAAGAGTAGAATTTTTATTTTATTTTAAGTTATTTTAGTAATTTCAGTTATTTAAAAAAAATAAAAATAAAAAGACAATTTAGCACCCTTATTGTAAAAATTTAATAAATACATGAAAAAAAAAAGAAATAGAGTAGCCATATTTTATTAGTATTGCACTTTATTATTATTTTTCATGTTTTATTATTATTATTAAAGTAATGTAAGTAATGTAGCTAACCAAACTTTATCATTGTGCTTCCTTCTGCCAATATAATAAAATTAATATACAAAAATGTTAAATATTGACTGAATGTAATTTATACTGGGTTTCATCTTTTAAAAAAAAAAATCTGGAGTTTTATTATTTTATTACAGTAATACTTTCAGTATTACTATTACAGTAATACAAGACTAATGATCTATCAACCTTCAATTATGATAATCACTCAAAAAAATTATAATAATCATGATCACTGGAAATAAGAATTAAAAACGTAAACAAACAAACAAACAAAAACACTTCCAGAAACATTATGGTAAGGAAGTTAAATGTGAGGGGAAAAAAATGTTAGGTGAAAAAAACAACCCAACATTTATACGGTGATCTATTGACATAATAATAATAATAATAATAATAATAATAATAATAATTAGAACTAGATGAAAGACCTTGATTCATATCAGTCATTACAGTTTCACACTGAAAGCTTTATTCATTGAGCATAAATTAGAGCGATTTGTTTTATTTACATTGAACACCAGCAGATGGCGCACTGTGGCTATGAACAAAACCTAACCATCATTCAATCTGTGCTGGAAGGTCTTTGGTTAATAAACACTCTCTCTTCACTGTCACTTATTGCCTCCACACAACAAATGTTTCACAGAAGCTCTAAAGCACATATTGCACAATTGAGCAGAGACAAATGTGTGAATACACACACACATACCTATGAAAAGACTGTCAGAGTATGAGAAAATGGGAGTCTCTTTGCTTGGTGTCTGACAACTGCAAATTATAAGTATACAATTACATTCTACATGCATACAGGGACTCAGAAATACTCATTTTCATTTGGAAGCTGATTTGAAAATAGTAAATGGACTTTCATGTCTAATCACAGCAGTCTGATCAATACTTCACACTTAATGTGCTTTGCTTCACTTCTGGCCACAACAAATAAATTTGGGACTATAGTTTTAACATATTTCCTGTTGTCTCCTTTCCTAATGCTCTGTTTGGCTGAAGGAACCGCAGAAACTCCACACCTTTCCTGTATTCAGTCCTCTTTGGAAAATTTGAGTAACCAGGTACCTAAATCTTCTGATTACAGTTGTGAAACTTAGTCCACCGTACAAGCCCGTGTTTGCCACTAGATATAAGGCTTATCAAACTCATTTCCTCATCACATTCCTCTTCAAACATTGCAGGACTTGTGTGAGTGTTACTCAGTGGCTCTTTCAAAGCTCAGGAGACTTAATGGAGATTTTGGTTGTTTTATTTATATGTTAACAGATGTTTCTATTAAAATTCCTCTGGAGAAATAAAAACAGCCACAAATGAGACAATTGTTGTCATACAGAATGAATAAAGAGATATTAAATTAATGTAGATACCAGCTGAGATTGTTCGGCCTTGGAAGAATGAAATGAGAAAAGTTTTGTGTCTTTTGTGTTTATATTCATCTGACTGCAGACTCCATCTGAGCACAGTTTGAGACATTTTTGAGATGACTTGGAATCTATTTCTATAGAGAAAATATCATTTAATAAATTAAAATAAAATTAATGAAAATAAATGTAATTGCACAGCTGTCTTAGAGAAACAGTTGAGATATTAAAGAGATCTGATTTGTGAACTCTTCTGTGGTCAGACACTGGGTCAATTGCGTGCAATAGTGTGAAAACACATTGCAGTGCAGTAATAACATTGCAGACAAGTATTGGACTAGCATGTGGATGTTATTTAAATAATATTTGCCTGCTTCCCGATGTACAATATGCACACGCCTGACAAGAACAATTACAAATTCCTGAAGCCAGTGAAAACATACATTTAGTCAGTTGACGTGTCTAAACACACACACACACACACACACACACACACACAGAGGCTGGTTTTGTTTTAGCTCCGTTCTACTGTTACTGTGAATCCAGGTCACAACACAGAAGGAACACTGTCCGACTGAGAGCGAGAAAGACTGAGACGAAGGGAAAAAGAATAACAGAATGCGAGAGAAGCAAGGAATGGGAAAGTAGCAGAAAAAACCACGGGTGGTCTGAGAGCAGAAGAGAGAAATAAAAGAGATCAGAGATGAGAAATGGAATGTAAACCAATAGAAACTTATAAAGTAAACAAGATTTTTTTTTTATCATTGTCTGAAAAAAATGTGAGCACTGCTTTCCCACACTGATAAAAATTATTTTGTGGTGAAGTAAATAATACAGAAAAACAAATGTAATTTCTACATTAAATAATTTAGTTCAGGCAAGAATAAAAAAAAAAAAGAGAAAATTAAATATTAGTACTCAATTTGAGCTTGTAGAATTTAAAGTTTCAACTTAAGTACATTTTACTTGGAATTTAAAAAAAATTTTTTTTACAAAGATTGTTTAAGTAAATATCAAAGTCATGATCCCATTTTTCCCATCATGCACTTGGGCATGAATAATTATTAAGGTAATTTTTTTTTTTTGTTGCTGTTTTCGAGATGTATTTACACTGTTTTATGGTTGCTTTTGTTGTTAGGTTTAGTAACTTGTGACATCTAGAGTTCATTTTCTACTCAAAATGACCCATTCATACTCAAACACTATTTACTGATTGTTACCGTCATTGTGTATCATGTGCTAAGTATTGAGGTCTGTGTGTTCATTTGGTTAAAAACTACATTGAGTCAAGATATTACCTTAAAAAGAAGAAGGAGCTGTCCATTTGCTTACATACATTTTTATAAGTGAACCACATGCTTTAATGGCATTTTTCCCCCAGTGCTATGTTGTTAGAGTTAAGTTTACAAACCATGACAGAGTGAAATGTACTTCAGTATTGCAGGGTAAACTTAAAATAATTTATTTATTTTGATTTATTTAGTTTGATGAGAATTACTCATCAAACTCTAACTGGCCATGTTAAATTTACTTATTTCCTTTCCTAATTTTATATAACTTAGTTAAGTAGATTTTACTTAATTCCATACTTAAATTTTACTTTAAAAATATGCATGTAAAAACTTGCAAAATAAAAATTAAGTACATTTTACTTGTTGTTTTTTTTCAGTGCATGTAAAACTCACTGCCACAATGCTGGGTGGTTTTTAGTGCGTTCCTATGTGGTTGCTCAGGGTGCCCATTTCCTTTCCTAATTTTATATAACTTAGTTAAGTAGATTTTACTTAATTCCATACTTAAATTTTACTTTAAAAATATGCGTGTAAAAACTTGCAAAATAAAAATTAAGTACATCTTACTTGTTGTTTTTTTTCAGTGCATGTAAAACTCACTGCCACAATGCTGGGTGGTGTTTAGTGCGTTCCTATGTGGTTGCTCAGGGTGCCCTGGATGGTTTCTAAAGTCAAAAGAGCATCTATGGTATTCTGGTCTCTAGATAGAGCTCAGGTCCCTCTTTCAATGCAAATCTATAGTTATTTTTGCCCATTTTATTGTCCACCTCAGCAAGATAACAATAGCCTCGCTTCAACACCTGCTTGCAAAACACCCTATGACCCTATATCTTTACTCTTCACTATCTCTGATAAACCGCAGACCAGAAGTCATTCATTTCTGATGAAGAATAATGGAATTTCATGGAGTTGCATATCCCCGATCATTCGGTATGCACATTTTTTAGATCTGATTTGAACTCTGGATGCATTAAAATATTTAGACTTTATTAAACAAATGATGTATGATGTATTCACATCAAAATAGTTAGCAAAACTTGAGCATTACTATTTCTCCACTAAAATGTTATTATTTATACACAATTTCTGAAATTATGAATTTTATTTAATAAATATTTTATTAAATTTTTTTAAACTATTATTTGGGTTAATTAGCTTTAAAAATGACTTTGTTTTTCTTTCAAACAGCTGATATAA